GGGGGCGCAGGGGGCGGAGTCCGGCCTGGGGTGCGGGTCCCGGCTCCGTCAGTGACGGCCCCCGGGCTCGCATGGGAGGGGAGCGGGCAGACTCCCGCCCCCTCACAAAGCCTGAGGAGGGGGCGGGGACGGGGTGAGGGGCCGGAAAGGGCGTGAGGGGTGGGGGTCCCCCGGGTGCTGCCGCCTTCCCGGGAGCGGCGAGGGCACGGGGGCCAAGCGGGCTCTCTGGTCTCTGCGTCTGGGCTTCCTCAGGGTGCACAACCCGAGGGAGCGAGCTGAGAGGTGGTCCCCGGGAGGCGGCTGCCCACCTCGGGGGCCGCGCAGGAGGGCAGAGGCCGGAGGGAAGGGGCCGAGCGGACTGGCCGAGTCTGACACGTCGAAGGAGAAGGAGCTCTCTTCTCTCCGACCCCCGGCCCTCCGCACCTGAGGAGGTTAGAAAAGGGGGCGTCCAGGGATGGCTGCCCTCCCCGGGGGGCGCAGCACCCGTGGGCGGGGGAGGGAACGACGCCGCCGGCCTTATGGGCGGATCGGCAGCATCTCTGCAGCCACGCGCTGGCTGTGGTCGCCGGAGTCTTTCTCTGTACCCCACAGTTCCAATCCGAAGCAAGGCGATGATGGTTCTCTCCCCTCAAAGCATCCTGCCTGGCTTGCATTTTTTTTTTCCCGCCCTCTTTCTTCTTTCTCATCTGAAGGGTTTTGCCTCCCACTTGAGAGAAATCAATTAAAAAAAAAAAAAAGAGGAAAGATGTGCTGGATGCATCCTTGGATGGAGGAGGAGAGGAATGACTCCCTCACCCTGCCACACACGCCCCCACGCCACCCCACAGCTCTGAAACGGCTTTTCTTTCTTGGGCAGCCGCACTCTGTTGCCATTCTCCAGGCTTGTGTGGGAGAAGACTGCTGTGCGCCTGTGTCTGTCCAACAGTTTAAAATAGTAAAAATAGAAAATACATACTGAACCTTTAGTATATGCCAGATTTTATGCTAGGTAGCTTCCTTCTATGCAATGTCTTATTTGACCTTCCTAATACTCTATGAAGAGTATTTCTTAATGATTAGACAGCATTCATTCATCTAGTCATTGTGCTGGAGATACAGTAGTGAACATAGACTAGGTTTCCTGCCCTTATTGAGCTTGTATTTTGGGTCTAGGAGGAGTAGGGGAGGAAAGAGACATATACACATTTTAAAAATAAAAATATATGACAAAATTAAGAGTAGGGGAGAAGAATTTAGTGTAGAGGCACAGCAGCTATTTTTTAAAGGGTAATCAGATTTAATGTGACATTTAGCAGAGATCCAGCATGGTCAAGGAGGGAGCCATGAAGCTATCTAGGAAGGAGTTTTTCAAGCAGAAAATGTGTCAAGTACAGTAGAACTTGTGGAAGGAGCCTACTTGAAATTTTCAGGGAACATATGCATCAAAAGCAATGTGGTAATGGTGATGTTAGCAAAAGAAATAGTTGCAAGCAATATCAGAAAGAACTTTCGCTGTAAATTGTATGAAAGAGAAATCCATTAAAGGATTATGTGCAGAAGAATGACATGATATGGCTTATGTTGTCAAAGAATCACTGTGGCTACTGTATGAAGAATAGATCCTAAGGAGGCAAGGGCAGAAATAGGAAAGTGAGTTAGTAGTTTTATTAGGATGGCAGGGACAGAGACAGTAAGAAGTGGTTGAGTTCTAGATCTATTCTGAAGCTAGAATAAACAAGATTTGTTGCATAATTAATATGGGTATAAGAGTAAAAAAGAAGTGAAGGATGACTTCAAGAATTTTGACTTCTACAACTTAAAGTACTGAGATGCCATTTAAAAGAGATGAAGGAAGAATATAGAAGGATCAGGGGAACAATCAAGAGTTCACATGAGGGGGTTAAATTTTATATCCCTTCTAAACATCAAAATTGAAATCTTGAGTAGACTATGTAATGGAGCTTAGGGTAGCAGTCCAGGTTGGTATATAGTTTGGGAGTTGTCAGTCTCTAGATGGTATTTAAAACCATGAGATGGGATGTAATTTCTAAGGAAGTGGGTATAGAAGAGAACTGAGTGTTGGAACATTTTAACATTTATCAGTATGGGAGATGATGGGGAATTAACAAAGAAGACAGAAAGAGCAGCTACGGAGGAGGAAAACCAAGATACTATAATGTCCTGGAAATTAAGTTGAAAAAAAATCATGCCAAGAAGGAGGGAGTGATCGATTGAAGCTAAATGTTAAGTGTTCTAAGAAAGAGAAAGTGGTCTGCTGTGTCAAAAGTAGCTGATGGATTAAGGAAGATCAGGACTTAAGAACTGATCACTGGAATTCACAATGTCAAATTACTGAAGATCTTGACCAGTTATGGTGGAGGGGACAAAATCTACCTGTATTAGTTTCAGAAGTGAATGAGAAGAGAGATATGGAGGCAGAAATATAAACAGTTTTTAATTTTTTTTAATTTGACTGTAATGTAAACCAGAGAAATAGGAGAATAGCTGAAAGGGGATTCAAAGTCAAAAAGGCATTTTATTAAGATGCAAGAAATTACAGCATGTTTGTAAGCTGAAAGGAAGGTTCTTATAGAGAAGTCTTTAATTTTGATTAAAATTTGTTCATTTGGAATCAATGAATAATATAATAACCACAAACTTCATGATTTCATTGCCAAACTTAATCCAAACTTTATCGCCAAATGTGTTTTTACCTGAAAAAAGCACCGTTGTGGCTGCAAGCAGAGTTTCAGTACTAGTAATATTAAGCTCACTCATTCTTCTACAGAAGCAATATAGTGTGATTAAAAAAAAGATTAATATCAAATGTATTTTTGTCAAAACATAGTGCTGACTCATATTGCCATTATCACATATTCTCAAAGCTGTATAAGAAGAAAATGAAATCAACTTTCTGACCAATTTTTTGGTCTGACCAATTTTTTCCATCCAAAACAATATTTTGTATTACATGTAATATTACCAGTCAGCATAATAGAAGAACAGTCTTCATTGCAAAATGTTTCCATAGGATAAATAGCACTTGTATTACCACACTGATTGTGACAATTCAGTGAATGATCTAAATGATATAATAGCTTCATAGTACCTAAGTAAGTAAGTGTTAGTCCCTCAGTCGTGCCAGAATCTTTGTACCTAAGGAAGTAAGTAAGTGTTGGTCGCTCAGTCGTGCCCAACTCTTTGAGACCCCATGGACTGCAGCTCATCAGGCTCCTGTGTCCATGAGATTTTTCCAGGCACAGATACTGGAGTGGGTTGCCATTTCCTTTTCCAGAGGATCTTCCCAACCCAGGGTTCGAACCCAGGTCTCCTGCACTGCAGGCAGATTCTTTACCGACTGAGCTACAAGGGAAGCCCCTCATAGTACATAGTTAAGGGAAACATATAAAGTCTGCTTTTTAAAAATCTTTATGGATATAGTAATTTCAATAATTCTAATGTCTGTTATACAGGAAACATTCCCAACAAATGATAGCTTTACAATTTTGATTACTGAAATATGAATCTAGAATAATAGTTCATACTTTATATAAAAACTATATAGGGTATTCTATATAGAATACCCTTCAAAATGTGTTTTCTGTGATGCTATATAAAAAAATGACTTTCTTTAAAAAAAAACAAAAGCTAAAACAAAGAATTGGTAAACTACAAACAGCTATTATTGACATACTTGTTTGTATATTAACTAGTAAAATAAAAATATAATAAAATTAGTTCAATGTTATATAATTTGTTGCTAAATTTAATAATAACTATTAAGATTGAGTTAGTTGGCCCTTTTTATTTTCAGAAGTTGATGAAAAGCATCCTTTTTGACTGTAAATTTGGGCCACATGAAGGAATATCACTCCAGTTTTTGATCCCTTCTATAATGATCCTCATTGGTCAGATTTTCAAATCCTCTATGAAAAGATCACATAATTGTTTGAAATAGATAAGGAAAAGGTAATTTTCAAGTATAGAATTTAAGATTTTTATATTATTTATGAGATGGATCCTAACTGTCCCCTTAGAATAATCATGATTCCACATTTAATATTTTAGTGCACTTTCGTCAGAACCAGATAAAAAGTTCCTATGGCAAACGCAAATTAAACATAGTTGGTTTAGCCTTGAAGAATTTATTTTCAGAGAGAGTTATCTGTATATGTAAATAAATAGCTACGTTTTGGCCAACAGTGGCTTGATTTTTTTTTTTTTGGTATGGTACAAGGAATTCTGTTTGTTTTATCTAAAAACCAAAACAATTTATTTCCAAAAATAAAATAAAACATACAACCTTAGTTTGTCTTAACCCTAAGTCTTTGAAGTCACTTGAATAATATTTTTAAATATTTATATTTTCATCCACCTGATTGATTAAACCAAACAAAGTCAATGTGTTTTTCATTTAGAGGTAGTTTTGGTAGAAAACTAGAGGGTTTTGTCTTCTTAAAATTCAACCTTCCTTTAAAACAAGGAACTTTTTAAAAATTACATATTAAATTACTTAAATTTTTTCCAAAGGCAGTGTGATATCTGGAAGTCCCTTGGTGAAATCCACTAACCTCTTTTTATGTAAGACTATCCCTGAGAGTTGCAGAAAGATCAGTTCAGGATTTGCATATCCCTGCAGCTAACCAACAAAAAAATAAAACTTGTAATTTCTTTCTTTCAAATAACTTTAAATTTTAAACTTTTATGATTATGCTGTTATTTTCTAACATAATTAATTACAAATTATTTCTTGTCATTAATGAACACATACAAATCTTTCTGTTACTTCTAAAGGAGTTGTATATTTTTGATGAGTGGCCACAATGTTGTCAATGAGCTGATGTTCCTCTTGAGTTCATTCCATGTGTTTCTGAATCTGTAAGAAAATATGGAGGAAAACTGTAACGAATACTTATCAAACAAGATATCATCATCAAAGAAACAAGACATTTTATGAATCTTGCCGCTTTTCCAGATATAGTGGTGGATGATACAATCTTATTGTTTACCCCTTTGTCTTCCATTTTGATGTTAGCGCCAAAGCTATTCTGCTTAAAGTTCTTTTGAAGCCTCTTTGATTTGCATTGGATTTCTGTAAGCAAAACTGTGATATTACAAAAGTCACATGAAATGTTTTGGGTACATCAAATACCATTATAAGATTGATGAAAATTGTCTTACATGTACACATGTGTGATCACAAACTAGTCTTTTCAAAAAGAACCTTTATTTTTTGGTAAGCATGTATAACAGCAGTTAAACGTACTGTTTAGATTACTTACTTTTTTCTCTCCACAACAACTTGTGTACTTAAAACTACAGTCATCCTAGACATAAAATTAATTTTATATCTCAAAATTATAAATTTAGACCTTTTTATGTTAGAGAAATTTCCTCATGATATCTTGGAAGCAACAGAGTGTCAATTGGTACATTGAAGAGAAACTACTAATTTAAAATTCTGCTTTTTCTAGATCAATTATATAACTTTAGGTTAACTAAAATAAAATTCAAGTATTTCCAATTAGGAAGAAAATATGATTACTACCAAAGTCAGATAAATACAGTATAGAACAGAGTTTGTATAAATAATTACCAAGATTGGTAACTGGTTATTCTAATTTAGCAGTTGCTAGAGAAATAGCTTGAAAGTGAAAGTGAAAATTGCTCATTTTGTGTTGGACTCTTTGCAACCCCATGGACTGTAGTCCATGGAATTCTCGAGGCCAAAGTACTAGAGTGGGTAGCCTTTCCCTTCTCCAGGGGATTTTCCCAACCCAGGGATCCCCTGCTTAAATCTAGACAAATATATTATGTTCAAATATGTTTAAAATAACTTGAAGAATATCATTTCCCAGTAGATAATAAAAACTAAAACCCTTCTCAAAAAAAAAAAGTACACAATGGTACATACATTCTCCCTACATTGTTACTACCTTACACTTTTTCAGTCTGCACTCTTGACATTTTGTCTGCATGTACATGTCCACTTCACAATGACCACCATTCTTGCAACTGTATACTGCATTCCTGGTGATGCTACATCGAAAAAACCCTAGTAACAAAACAAGAGTTTTTAAAATTTTACTATAAGCTATTTTTTAGTTACTTGTTTTTAATCTTTACCATAAAGCAATTAAGTTAACTAAATTGTTTCAATAAAATGTTTTTCCCCTCAATAAAAAAAGTTTGGTTTAATATCCATTTATCACGATAATTGTTTTAGTCATCTCCTGTTTGATATATTCCATGTTTATTCCTGAAAATAATCTATCTGGAAATTAAGCTAAATAACCCAAACACATTAAACCAACTCTCTATTTTTTATGGTTATATCATCTAAAAGAATTTTAAAAACTGTATCTTAGAGAATATCATGCTTCTGTGGCACATCATTCAAGGTTGCCTAGAAGGAATGTGTGCTCATGTAAAATAAAACTATAAGAAAAGCCTCTCTTTTTCTCTCCTCACATTGCTACCTCAACTCATAAAGGAAGAGATACTCTTCCAAACTTACCCCTCTTTACTTTTTTAGCACTTCTCCAGATGAGATGCTAACTTATCTAGTCCAAGATGTTGAATGAGCAGTTTTGTGTGTGTGTGTGTGTGTGTGTGTGTGTGTGCGTGCGCGCGCGCGCATGCATATGTGTCAAAGAGTGGGTGGAGATTCTACATTTTCCTAAATCAACGCATAGCAATCTGTTTCCATTTCCTCCTTCATTTCCCATTCCTATGTAATAATCCCCGCTATCTTCCTCTTATTCCATTCCAAGCAGTGAAGTTGATGAGACTAGTCAATATCCCTCTTAGTAGCCTGCCATATTCTTTGTGTAGACACACTTGAGAATAGGAGTTTCATGACTTAGATTCAGCAAAGGGATTAGAAAGCCCAGCTTAGGTTTCCAGAACTGTGCCTCATTCTTCAATTTAGTCTAAACAGCTGTTGTTGTTGTTCAATCTTCATGGATTTGTAGTCCACCACACTCCTCTGTCTTTGGGGTTTTCCAGGCAAGAACGCTGAAGTAGGTTGCCATTTCTTTCTCCAGGGGTCTTCCCTACCCAAGAGAACCCACATCTCCTGCATTAGTAGGCGGATTCTTTACCACTGAGCCACCAGAGAAGCCTAGTTTTAACAGCAAGGCCCTGCATTTTTAGATGAAGCAAATACTGGCCCAGCTATTCTTCTATGCATAAAGCTGGCACCGCCTTTCCCTTCGTCTTTGGCTATTCTTTGTAGGAAGTGAGTGTAAGATTCCAACAATAAGACTTTACCTTGAACTAAGATGTTTACTAGTGCAGTATTGATCTAATCATTTCTAGGTTCTGCCCCAATATTGCATTTGTGAATAAAAAATATAGAAGTGCTTCAAAACTTTATCAAAGACTATCTTACTCTTTGAAAATGCCATCGTCAGTGATTATCTTCACTTGCCGATCTCCTATTTGTTTTCAAGAAAAGCATTCCTAGAAAATAGACTTAGATAGAATCTTAAAAGTCACTTAATTGAAATTTCCTCCTAATTCAAGAATTATACCAGCCACATGAGAAAATGTAATAGTTAACATTCAGATCTTTTTAGAAGACATTTTTGTATTCTAACATCAGATTCATTTAGGAACACGGAAACTTTCTGTCACAGAAATATTTTGAATTTTATATTTAATTATAAAAGCCTTCACAAAATTTTTTTAAAAATCAAAACTTCGTTAAATTCATTTTCATGTCTTTGATCCCACAGATTGATCACTTTAAATATATCAATGGTTCTCCATGGTTTTATTTTTCACAATTTAAAAAGTATTCCTACATGCTTAAAATTTCATAACTCTTCAGTGCACGCTAGTATTAAAGTTTTAACTTGATCCTTACCTTTGCAAACTTCACAAGTAAGTGCATTGTAATGATATCCTGATGTTTTATCACCACAAATTACACAGTGTTCTTCCTGGCCCTTAATACAAATGGAAGAATAAGTTATTCTGGACCTTTTCATTCCAGGGTAACCATCTTCAGCATCATGGACAACCACATAAGTGGATGTATTTAATTCACATGAAAAAAGCCCATACTCTCCACCACTGAACTGTGGATTCAAGCTATAAGTGTTGAAATGACTTTGCAAAGATTGGGACTGTAGAGTTGGAGGAAAGTGTACAGCAGAATAGCAGTAAAGTGATTCTTGAAAATCAATGTTATGCTGCTAATAATTGATTCGTTCTGGCAGAAGATCTAGTTGTTGTTTTTTAATGCACACAGATACACAAAAAGGAGGAAAGTGGTGAAAATCAAGTTCATAATTACTTCCAATTTCAAAGTTTTACACTCAAAGAACAGAGTTAGTTCATCATATTCACTACATCCCAGGAACTTGCTATCTAGCATGAGAGCAGACAGTAAACTGAATGTCTATGCATGAAAAATGCTCCCAGCTTTTGAGGATTTTGTGTAGTGAATAAAAATTTTTCAGTGCAACCAGATCAATAAAGAAATGAATTAATAAATTATTTTGTCCTCCAAAAAAAAATTAAAATACAATTATACCAGCTATATGGTGTTTCAAACAAAAAAGAAATTTGTTTAAACTCACTTAATATATCTTAACATTCTCCTCCATCACTTGCAGACCTGATTTAAAGTGCTACTTTCTTTTCTGTTTTGTTGTCTAGTAATTCAATCATCTGGGGATAAAATCACCTACCTCACAGGGTGACTATAAGAATGAAATAAAATGTGGCATGCAAAAGCACATATAAAACACAAAATTACACCCAATGAATATCTTTACTATTATTATCAGAAGCTCCCAAACACCAACTCACTTTCTGTTTTCAGGAGGATTATTGGAAAAAAAAAAAATACAGAAAATTGACTCCAAAAATACCTAGGAACATTATTTGCTCTATGTATCTATCTAGTAATATTAGTACTTTTCCTTGTGCAAAATCACAGGTGATTAGAATTACTCTTAACCTCAAAATTCTACCATCAAAATTGGTAAACAGTATAATTTCCATTAATTCACATAAATAATTTCCAATCTCATAGCAACCAACCCAAAGTAAAGTGTTAAATAAACACCAATGACATCCTGATATAAGAAGAAAACTTATCAGTAGAAAGAATGTAACTTTTTTTTTAGAAAAAGAAGAGGGCCCTTCTTGACTGAGTATCAAAAGACTACACAATACTGGCTGATGTTCCATTGGCATGGAAATCAGAGTTCAAAGTATAATATAAAATGGAATTTTAAAGTTAATTAATATTATAATCTTGGTCTTTTGGGAGAAAAATCATATTGTCTCTTGCACTCTGTTTTCTATTTCTTTCCCTTTGATAAAAATCTTATATTAAGATTAAAGTTTCAAGTACATTGAATAGCTCTGAAATACATTTCTCTGAACTACATTTTCTGAATTGCATGTGAACTAGTTTCTTTTAATCCCTAAAAATAACATAATTTGTATGTTAGTTCTGTTTTTAAAAATTAAATACAATTTTAGACTACTGTGTTTTTTCTTCTTTACATTTGATTCTGGCTTACAACATTTTGTTATTTCTGATTTTTTAAATTAATTATATTCTCTAGGAGGGACTAATTGAAAGTCTTTGGTTCATTTACCAATTTCTTTATAAAAACTCTGATTAACCATAATTCCCACAAAAAATGTTTTATTAACTATCATACTGTAGTTTTTCATCACATACCATAGTGCTGCACTGGTTCAGCCAAAGAATATCCATTAGATGCAGCGACATAAGTACTGGCCATTCTCTGGCCAATTTTCATTTTTTCACTAGTAGATGCTAAAATAGTAAAGGAAACAAAAATTTTGTAGATTTTTTGAAAGTATGATTATCAAATCAGTATGATTTTATAGAAGTATAATACTGTTCTTAAAAATTAAAGAATTTAGCACACATTATACATAAGACATTTATATTTACACTTTAACTGGAAGAATATTGATTTTTCATATCTCCGAGTATCAAATTATTTAATTCTTACAATTTCTTATTGCTCAGCTCTTTAAAATAATTTAAATCTTGGTAATAATCATTATAGCTCTTGAAAAAGTACCAAGCTTTAGAGTTATACTTCATACACTGACCCATACATACGGTTCATTTTTACACCTCTCTGAACCTTAATTTCCTCATTGAGAAGTAGTGAAGTATACCTAGCAAAGTTTTTGGAGAGTTTAATTAATATGTTTAAAATCTAGCACAGTTCTTGACTTAGTAACTAAGTCCTATTATTATTCTAATAGTTTCAATAGATCTCAGTATGTTAAATTTAGATGACTTAGGAAGAAAAAGTACATTCTTTCATGAAGGAAATTAAAGAGTAGGAAAAGAATGGCTTTCATAGCACTTTATTTAATCTTCTAAGACCTTTGTAAATATTTTTCATAGTACTATGATATGCTAAACATTAAAATATTAATTTTGGTTCTATTTGACTAATGAAAATAATTTTTTACTATTGAAAGGAGAAGTGTTTTATTTTTAATAGTAAAGACTAAAAATCATAAGCTGTTATGAGAAAAAAATATTCAAAATTTAAGACTGTCCCTTATGGAAAAAGCTATTTTTGTTATTTCCTAGGAAGGAACTCCAAAAACAATGCATCTTTGAATAGACTTATACAGGAAATCACAGTTAAAGAAACTGGAAATTACTGAAAAAAAATAAAGGTCACTCTAGAGTCCATGATATTTTATAGCTTTATCCTATCTATTAGAAGGTAAAGACTGTTTTCACCTTTTAAAAGAACCAAAAAAGAAGAAAATGGGTTTTAAATCATACCAAAATACATACATGACAAACTTCTGAGATAGCTTCTGAGATTATGTTGAAATCTGTTTTACTTAGATTAAGTTGTTATATGATGGTGTCATTGCTAAGGTTTCTACTTCCATGAAAATGCTTAAAATAGTAATATCTCTAAAATTTGTCCTCTGCATTATTTAATAGGCTCTAGGTTCCTTTAAAAGTACTTGAATCTCCCACTCTGATAGCATAGTAGCAGTCCTCTGGAGGAGGAAATGACATCCCACTCCAATATTCTTGCCTGGAGAATTCCATGGACAGAGGAGCCTGGCAGGCTACAGTCCATGACTGAGTGACTGAGCACAGAAGAGGAAGTACTGAATGGGACAGGTAAAGCAAAAGTGGTGTCCCCAAATAATTGCACTTTCTTTTTTTATTTTATTTATTTACTTGTTTATTTTACTTTTTTTGGCTGTGCTGGGACTTCATTGCTGCATGGGCTTTTTTCTAGTTGCAGCAAGAGAGGGCTACTCTCTACTTGAAGTGCACAGGCTTCTCATTGGGCTTCCCTCACAGCTCAGTTGGTAAAGAATCCATCTGCAATGCAGGAGACCCCAGTTTGATTCCTAGGTCAGGAAGATCCCCTGGAGAAGATAGGATAGGCTACCCACTCCAGTTTTCTTGGCCTTCCCTTGTGGCTCAGCTGGTAAAGAATCCACCTGCAATGTGGGATACCTGGGTTTGATCCCTGGGTTGGGAAGACCCCCTGGAGAAAGGAAAGGCTACCCACTCTAGTATTCTGGCCTGGAGAATTCCATGGGCTGTATAGTCCACGGGGTCGCAAAGAGTCGGACACAACTGAGCTACTTTCACCACCATCTCTTGTTGCAGAACACAGACTCTAAGGCACACAGGCTTCAACAGTGGCAGCACATGGACTCAGGAGTTGCGGTTACCAGGCTCTATAGCACAGGCTCAATAGCTGTGGCACATGAGCCTAGTGTCTCCTCAGCATGTGGATCTTCCAGGATCAGGGATCGAACCCGTGTATCCTGCATTGGCAAACAGATTCTCTACCACTGAGCCACCAAGGAAACCCAAGTACACTTTCAATATGAAGTTTTCCTTGAAAAGTAAGAACTAAAATCAGTAAGATCAGTCAGTATTACAACAGGTTTATCGGCTCTCCGTATAAAAAGGATTCTAAATACCATTAGTTTAATTTGTGTCATAGTTCTCAGCAATAATCCTGTTTACGTCTTTCCAAACTTCTCTTTGAGTCTTAATTCCATTTTAGAAAATTCCAAATGAATATGAAAACTTAAAGTTGTTAGCCTTCTTTTAAAATTATTGCTTTTAGCATTAGGCTTCAGATAATATTAAATATCTGAAAATTAAAAAGCATTTGGTACTCTTTTTCTAGCTAAGCAAAATTTCATTTAAGAAATGATATAGAATAAATCAGAGAGAGCACATTAAAACAGACGGGTAATATCCTGGCAAATTCACACATAAGTATCTTACAGCAATGCCACTGTCAGATTTCAAATCACAAATAGCAATGTTCCCAAACTAAGTCCTTCCAATACTGATAAATAAATGCCCTCAAACATTTTCTAAAGCAGAAATGTTTTTATCAGTTTATGGAATACAGGTGTACCTCAGCAATATTGCAGGACTGATTCCAGACCCTTGAAATTAAGCAAATAGCACAATAACGCAAGTCACATACATTTTTTAATTTCCTAGTGCATACTAAAAGTTACTTTATCCTGCAGCCTACTAAAAATGAGGTAGCATTTTGTCTTTAAAAATACCTTATTAAAAAACACTTTACTGTTAAAAAAAAAAAAGTAATCATCTGAGCCTTTAGAGAGTCATAATCTTTCTGCTGGTGAAGAGTCTTGCCTCAGTATTATTCGCTGCTGACTGGTCAGGGTGGAGGTTGCTGAAGACTGGAGTGAAGACTGGCAATATCTTAAAATAAGATAACTATGAAGTTACCCACATTGATTGACTCTTCCTCTCAAGAGCAATTTCTCTGTAGTATGCCGTGCTGTTTCATAGCAGTTTATGCACAGTCAAACTTCTTTCAAAATTGGAATCAATCTTTCAAGCCTTGCCAGTGCTTTATCAACTAGGTTTACTTAATATTCTAAATCTTTTGTTGTCATTTCAACAACCTTCATAGCATCTTCACCAGGGGTGGCTTCCATCTCAAGAAACCATTTTCTTTGCTCTTCCATAAGAGGCAACTCCTCATCCATTCATGTTTTATCATGAAATTGCAGCAATTCAGTCATATTCATGCTTGACTTCTAATTCTAGTTCTCTTGCTATTTCCACAACAGTAGCAGTTTCTTCCTCTATTGAAGTTTTGAACCCCTCAAAGTCACCCATAGGGTTGGGATCAACTTCCTCCAAACTCCTGTTAATGTTGATATTTTGACCCATAACTCATGAATGTTCTCAATGGCACCTAAAAAGGTGAATCTCCATCAGAAGATTTTTAAGTTACTTGGCTCAGATCCATCAGAGTAATCACCATCTGTGGCAGCTATAGACTTATAAAATGTATTTCTTAAATAATAAGACTTGAAAGTCAAAGCCATGGGTTGCAGAATGGATGTTGTGTTAGCAGGCATAAAAAGAACATTAAACTGACTGTATATCTCCATTAGAACTCTTGAGCGACCAGGTACATTGTCAACAACCAATAATGTTTTGATTCTTTAATTCTGAACAGTAAATTTCAACAATACATTTAAAATATACAGCAAATCATGTTGTAAACCATGTGGAAAATTCTTAAAGTGCTAGGAATACCAGACCACTTTAACTGTCTCCTGAGAAAACAATATGCAGGTCAAGAAGCAACAGTTAGAGCTAGACATGGAACAACAAGACTGCTTCCAAATTGGGAAAAGAGTACAAGGCTGTATATTGTCAGGCTGCTTATTTAACCTATATGCAGAGTACATCATGCAAAATGCAGAGCTGGATGAATCACAAGCTGGAATCAAGATTGCCAGGAGAGGCTGCTCTGGTGATCCAGTGGTTAAGAATCCACCTGCCAGTGCAGGGAGGGACATGAGTTTGATCCCTGCTCCAGGAAGATTCCACTTGCCGCAGAGCAACTAACCCATGGGCCACAACTGCTGAGCTTGTGCTCTCGAGCCCAGGAGCCCCAACTACTGAGCCCATGTCCCGCGACTACTGAAGCCCGTGCTCCACAAGGGAAGTCACCACAATGAGAAGTCAAGCACTGCAACTAGAGAGTAGCCCTTCCTTGCCACAATTAGAGAAAAGCCAGGGCATCAAAGAAGACCAAGCACAGCCATAAATAAATCATAAAATATCTATTAAAAATTAGGATATTAAAAAAAAAAAAAGATTGCCAGGAGAAATATCAACAACCTCAGATAAGCAGATGATACCACAATAATGGCAGAAAGTGAAGAGGAACTAAAGAGCCTCTTGATGAAACTGAAAGAGGAGAGTGGAAAAGCTGGCTTAAAACTTTACATTCAAAAACTAAGATCATGGCATCCAGTCCCATTATTTCATGGCAAATAGAAGGTGAAAAAGTGGAAACAGTGACAGATTTTATTTTCTTGGGCTCCAAAATCACTGCAGACAGTGACTGCAGCCGTGAAATTAAAAGACGCTTGCTCCTTGGAACGCTATGGCAAACCTGAAAGTGTATTAAAAAGCAGAGTTTAAGTCTGTGTCAGCATCACTTTGCTGACAGAGGTCCATACAGGCAAAACTATGATCTTTCCAGTAGTCATGTTGTAAGAGCTGGACCATAAACAAGGCTGAGCACCAAAGAATTGAGGCTTTCAAACTGTGGTGCCGGAAAAGATTCTTGAGAGTCCCTCGGACAGTGAGGAGTTCAAACCTTACTCAATCCTAAAGGAAATCAACCTTGAATATTCACTGGAAGGACTGATGCTGAAGCTGAAACTCCAATACTATGGCCACCTGATGCAAAGAACTGAGTCACTGGAAAATATCCTGATGCTGGGAAAGATTGAAGACGAAAGGAGAAGGGGACGAAAGAGAATGAGATGGTTGGATAGCATCACTGACTCTATCATGAGTTTGAGCAAACTCTGGGAGATAGTGAAGGACAGAGAAGCCTGGCATGTTGCAGTCCATGGGGTCTCAAAGAATCGGACACATCTTAGTAACTAAAAAACAACAACAGTGATGCAAACTGATGTGCTGTTATCCAGACTTTGTTTTTCCATGTATAGAGCACAGACAGAGTAGATTTAGTTTTAATTCTTAAGGGCTACAGGATTTTTAGAATGGTAAATCAGCATTGACTTCAAGTCACAAGTGGTATTAGCCCCTAACAAGACAGTCAGTCTGTCTTTGAAGTTCTGAAGCCAGGTATTCTCCTCTCTAGCCATCAAAGTCCTAGATGGCATTTTCTTCCAATAAAGTTATTTCATCTACATTTGTCGTTTAGTGTAAACCACCTTCATTTATTATTTGGGTACAACTTCTGGATAACTTGCTACAGTGTCTTCATCAGCACTTGCTGCTTCACCTTGCACTTTTATGTTATAGAGATGACTTCATTCCTTAAACATCATGAAACTACCTCTGCTAGCTTCGAACTTTTCTTCTGCAGCTTCCTCATCACTCTCAGCCTTTGTAGAATTGAAGAGAGTTAAGACCTTGCTGTGGATTAGACTTTGACTTAAAGGAATGTTGTGGCTGGTTTAATCTTCCATCCAGATCACTAAAACTTTCTCCATATCAGCAATATCACTTTGTCATTTGTGTGTTCACTAGAGAACCACCTCTAATTTCCTACAAGAACTTTTCTTTTGCATTCACAACCCTTATGTTTGGCACATGAGGCCTAGTTTTTGACTTATCTCAGCTTTCAGCATACCTTCTTCCTCACTATGTTTAATCATTTCTAACTTTTGATTTAAAGTGAGAGTCATGATATTTAGTTTTAATTCTTAAGGGCTACAGGATTTTTAGAATGGTAAATCAGCATTGACTTCAAGTCACAAGTGGTATTAGCCCCTAACAAGACAGTCAGTCTGTCTTTGAAGTTCTGAAGCCAGGTATTCTCCTCTCTAGCCATCAAAGTCCTAGATGGCATTTTCTTCCAATAAAGTTATTTCATCTACATTTGTCGTTTAGTGTAAACCACCTTCATTTATTATTTGGGTACAACTTCTGGATAACTTGCTACAGTGTCTTCATCAGCACTTGCTGCTTCACCTTGCACTTTTATGTTATAGAGATGACTTCATTCCTTAAACATCATGAAACTACCTCTGCTAGCTTCGAACTTTTCTTCTGCAGCTTCCTCATCACTCTCAGCCTTTGTAGAATTGAAGAGAGTTAAGACCTTGCTGTGGATTAGACTTTGACTTAAAGGAATGTTGTGGCTGGTTTAATCTTCCATCCAGATCACTAAAACTTTCTCCATATCAGCAATATCACTTTGTCATTTGTGTGTTCACTAGAGAACTGCCTCTAATTTCCTACAAGAACTTTTCTTTTGCATTCACAACCCTTATGTTTGGCACATGAGGCCTAGTTTTTGACTTATCTCAGCTTTCAGCATACCTTCTTCCTCACTATGTTTAATCATTTCTAACTTTTGATTTAAAGTGAGAGTCATGAGACTCTTCCTTTTATTTGAGCACCTAGAAGTCATCATAGGGTTACTCAGTGACCTAATTTCAATATAGTTGTCTGAAAGAATAGGGAGGCCCAAGGAGAGGCAGAGAGATGGGAACCAGCCAGTCAGTGGAACAGTCAGAACACATACAATATTGTGTTCACATTTTATATGAGTGTGGGTTCATGGTACCCCAAAATAATTACAATAATAACATCAGAAATCAATGATCACAGGTCACTATAACAAATAGAATAACAATGAAAAAGTTTGAAATATTACTAGAATTACCAAAATGTGACACAGAGACACAAATTGAGCTAACTGCTGTTGGAAAAAAAATGGTGCCAATAGGTTTGCTTAATGTAGGGTTGCCACAAAACTTCAATTTGTAAAAAACTTAGTATCTACAAAGTGTAACAAAGCAAAGTGCAATGAAATGAGGTATGCTTGTAGTTATATTTCAGAGCATATATGGGACATAAATAAACCATTGATTAAAATATGCCTTTTAAAAATATGAAATATTTATCTCTTTTTATGTTCATAGTAATAGTTGCATTATTTTCTACATAAAATGTTCACTAATTAACTTTTTCTTCAGATTTTAATGCTTAACAGAAATATTTTATTTTTTTAATTTATTTATTTTTAATAGGAGATAATTGCTTTACAATACTGTGTTGGTTTCTGCCATACATCAACATAACTCAGCCGTGTGTACACATATGTCCCCTCCCTCTTTAACTAACAGAAGTATTAATATAACCGTATGTATTCATGGAAAAGCAAAATTTTTGAAACAATATATTTATAAAATTAGTTTAAAAACACTTAGGTAAATTATTAACAACATAGAGAGAGGTATGTAATTAAAAACTTCCTATCCTATTGAAACAAAGAGAAAAGCTACAATGGGCTTGGAATGATTCTGAGTGTTTCATTAGCTTTCTTAGTAAATATTTATTTTAAAAGAAAACAGTTAAGAGAGGAGATTTTATCAAGAGGATCAATTTGCCCTGTTATCCTTTAACTTTTGAATACAAGGAGGATTTAACACTGTGAAGTCTACTCATGGATTTATATAGCTTTATCAATATGTGATTTACATATGTAGTTTAACAAATTACATATGTAATTTACATAACATCATATTCATTCTTTTAAATTACTGTATACTTCAGTGGATTTTAAAATATTCAGAGTATGTAGCAAGTACCATCAGTTAATCCCAGAGCATTTTTGTCACCCCAAAATGATCACCCCATACTTGTAAGCATAACACCTAATTTCCTCCTCCCCATCCCTGACAACTACTAAGCAACTTCCTGTTTCTATGGATATGCCTATTTTAGACATTTCATATAAATCTAATCAGATAATCCATACAGTTTTAAGTGAAAAAAGTAATTAATACCATGTTAGGTATTTTTCACAACATAAGATAGAAAGAGAAAATACATTAAATATTTAGGAAATTCATAAATATGAAAGTAATATTTTATATATTCTATATATATATTCTATAGAGATATAGAAATATTTTTGTGTCTATGTCCATAATCTGACATAATTTTCATAATTATGTCATCATAGAGTTTTCAACAAAAGTGTAATTCCCTGAATATATCTTTATTAGAATTTATTTCAAGTGGCCTGAATTTACATATAATCTATTGCTTCAAAAAATAAAATAGCTTATCAATAAGTTCTTTATTTTAAAAAAGTTTAATTTTTAAAATATAACAGTAAACATCACTGTGAAACGACTTATCACATCAAATATCAAGTCCAACTACAGTCTAAAATTACCTTGTCATTCTTTAGGAATCAAATTACTGTGTAATCTACTTAATTAAATTTTTACTTTCAAGGGGAAAATGTTTTCTACAGTTTGACTTTCATAGTAGTAACAATTGTCTTATTCACCTTGCAAAATTAATTTACTGTTAGTGAAATCTAAGGATCTCAAAAAAGAATATCTTATTATTATTTTTAATACCTAAAACTAATATTATTTAATGGTTTAATAATAAAGTTACCAACAAAATTAACATTTATATTTAATTTAGACAGCACAAAATACATTTTTCTTATTTTACAGAGAACAAAATACTCACAGTTCAGTGATACTACTAGAGATTGTTCTTTTCCTGACAGAATGAATACAGATAGATTTAGCATTGACTTTAACTTTCTAACTGTGGCAACTGAGCCGATTCCCTATTTATCAAAGAGTGGAAAGAGGGGGCGCTCTGCATAAACTTAGGCTATAGACACTCTGCAGAGCAATGCTTCATCTTTATCTTAGAGACAAACTTCCCACGCAGCCCTCTCCAGTCAAAGCAAGGGCAGTTACAAGCTCACATAAATCAAATAGTGCCCAGATCATCAAGGACAGAAGCCTTTGAGACCTTCCAGGTCACATTCTGCCAGAGTTTCTTGTTGTTTACTTAATAAAGACTTTGCTTTCTTAATTGAATTTGACATTCTATTTTGATTTCAAAACACTGGGTCTGTACAAACAACTGAGCGATGCATAAAGCAAAGGGAAAAAACCATTAAATTCAAACTCCACTGATATAGGTGCTGTAACCATTCAACTTGAAGTTTCATTACCAATTTTTAAACCAGTTAGTAGTGTGTAATAATAATTTATAGACTGCTGCAATGTTCAGTTCAATTCAGTTCAGTTCAGTCGCTCCGTCGTGTCTGACTCTTTGAGACCCTGTGAATCGCAGCACGCCAGGCCTCCCTGTCCATCACCAACTCCCAGAGTCTACTCAAACTCATGCCCATCGGGTCGGTGGTGCCATCCAACCATCTCATCCTCTGTCGTCCCCTTCTCCTCCTGCCCCCAATCCCTCCCAGCATCAGGGTCTTTTCCAATGAGTCAACTCTTCGCATGAGGTGGCCAAAGTATTGGAGTTTCAGCTTCAGCATCAGTCCTTCCAATGTTAGATGTGTACAAATCATCTAATCAAACTCTCTCATGTTTATGGCTAAGAAAAACTACAACATAAATAGATACTATTCCTTGTTCAAGTTCTCATGATAGTAGCAGAGATGAAACTCAGTGAAAATCCAAGCAGTTGAATAGGATTTATAAATAATTTCATTATGATTTCTTTAATGTCTCTTACACATATAAAGTCTGTTGGATACCAGACTCAGAGTCTCAGTCTTTTAAGACATTTGTACAGAAGCAAGTTTACAAATGTGTTCTACCACTGAACTCCATTCTCCTGGTCACACCATCTCTTATCTGATGACTCACTGTATTTTTATCTGACTCTACATGCTTGTCTCAGTCCTGCCCAGGTCTACTTTCACATAAACATGGCTCAGCTTCAGTATACATTCTCTATTTTTCCTGGCAACTGATCTTGTCCACCTCCAGTTTATAACTTCAGATTCTAATACTGATAATGAATTCTTCAAAAGTTTTCATCTACTATGGAGTAGAATTCCTGATAAAAAATCTCCAAGTCATCTCACATAGAGTTTTGTTTACCTTTTAAAATAATAGGCCTGTATCTGAGAATTTTAATTAGCGAACCAAAAAAATAAGTCATTGCATTATAATTCATTTGTGTTGATTCTTAGATATTCCAAAAATAGGCTCCAAATTACGTCTGAAAAGAAGTGATACTGTACTAGCAACCTTACATTGAAAAATAGCAAAACAACTACATGAAGCTGGAAATGATGGAGTTCCAGGTCAATTTTTACTACTTCACCCCAATATGTAAAATATTTTCCTCAAGAAATGATAGGATAAGTATAAAAAAAGGAAAGGGAAATATCAAAACAAACATATAAGTACTTGATTTTTTTAAAAGCATTGCTTAACTTCTAAGTTCTAGAACATTTGTTTCTTAAGAGAACACATTCTTTTTAAAGAACTTCAATTCTTTCACTATTAACATACAACTATCAGGGATAATTTATAAAATATTTTTGCTTAGATAATTCCCAATTTTAACCTCTGCTTATAAGCAGAGTTATAAGTTTCTGTATTAAAAATATACAATTTCAAATGCTCAATGATTCAAACTTTTTACTTATTCGTATCATCCTGACCACTCATACCCTCAATTCTACCCTGGTTATATATGAGATATTACAACTCATTGACAATCAGCTTCCTTGTTTAGTTTTACAAAAAAAAAAAAAAGATTTGGTAATTCCCTCATGGTTCAGTGTTAGAACTCAGCACTTTCACAGTGGTGGACAGGGTTTAATCCCTGGTGGAGAAAGAACTAAGATGCTGCAAGCAGTGTGGCTGCAGCCAATAAAAAAAAGATTCATCTAGAACTTTATAGCTATGAAATTTTTATATGTACTTCCCTGGTTTATAATAATAATTTAGACTTACTATGACATTAGCATAATGCTCATTCCAAGGTAGTTAAAGATATATTGATATTTTTAAAACAAGGAAAGTAGAATATATTTTTCAAATTTTGCACAGGCTTCTGTCAACAGAGCATTCTATTTATGCTCATATGTTTCATTGATATCACTTAATAAGCACAAATGAGGAAATTTCTTGAAATTTATTTTTTTTATTGTGTCACTCAATGCACAGCTGGCCTCTATTTATAGATACATGCCATTTAAAAAAATATTAATACTGTCATATTATCAGTTTTCAAAAAATCTAAACAGTTACAAATCTAACCCACTTGTTTGCTGTGTAACTAGGAACATCATTAGGGAAAGTTTTTTGAGAAAGTGACATCCAAAGTAAGACCTAAAGGATGAGTAAAAGCTAGCCATAGGAAAAGCTGAGGGATGAGTGTTTTATTGGGAACAGCACACAGTTAGTAATGTGTTGGTTAGTGTAACATCAAAAGAAGGCCAGTGTGGTGAATGGTGACAGAAGACATGAACAGAATGAAATGAGACTGGAGAGAAATTAAAACCGGATTATAACAGCCTTAAGAGAGAAGTCTGAATTTTATTCTGGGCATAATAGGAAATCACTAAAGAATTTTAAGCAGAAAATACACCATCTGAAGTATATTTTTTGTTTTCTTTTGATATTTTGTTTTTAATTGACATTTTCATTGAGATCATTGTAGATTGACTTGCAGTTTTAAGAAATAATACAGAGAGAGCATGTGCTTAATTTAGTTTCCCCCAGTGATAACATTTGTAAAATTGTAGTACAATGTAGCTAACAGTATATGGGCATTGACAAAAAAACAGCTTATTCAGAGTTCCCCAATTTTATCTATACTTATTTACACATATGAATTAAATTCTGTACAATTTTATCACTTGTAGGCTCATGAACCCATCACACAGTCAAGATTCTGAATAGTTCCAATATTAAAATCCCTCAAGTCATCCTGTTTTAACCACACCCACCTCCCTCTTCCATCGCCCCATTCTCAACTTCTGGCAACCACTAATTTGTCCCCCGTTTCTAAAAATTTGTCTTTTTAAAATGTTATATAATTGATCATACATTGTGTAACTTTTTTTATTAATTTATTTTATTTTTGGTTGTGGTGGACCTTTGTGTTGCTCGCTCTGGCTTTCTTTAGTTGCAGTGAACAGGAGCTACTTTCTAGTTGCAGGGCATGAGTTTCTCATTGCGGTGGCTTCTCGTGTCATGGAGCTCAGCCTCTAGGTGTGAGGGCTTCAGTAGTTGCAGCTCATGGGCTCTAGAGCGCAGGCTCCGCAGTTGTGGCACACAGGCTTACTTGCTCCGCAGCAGTATGGGATCCTCCCAGACCAGGGATCAAACCAGGGCCCCTTGCATCACAAGGCAATTCTCAACCACTGGACCACCAGGAAAGCCCTTGTGTAACCTTTTGTGACTGGCTTTTTTCCTTCAACATTAGTTCCCTGGAGGTTGATCCAAGTTGTTGTATATATTAATAGTTCGCTCGTTTTCATGGCTGAGTAGTAGTCTGTGGTTATGGGCATGAAGAAGTAAAGGTGTTTGTCCCTCAGTCATGTCCAACTCTTTGCAACCCCATGAACTGTAGCCCTCCAGGCTTCTCTGTCCATGGAGTTATCCATGCAAGAACTGGAGTGGGTAGCCATTCCTTTCTCCAGGGGATCTTCCCAACCTAGGGATCAAACTGAGTCTCCTGCATTGCAGGCGAATTCTTTACCATTTGAGTCACCAGGGAAGCCCAGTTATGGGCATGCCACAGTATAAATATTTATCCTTGGAAGGGTATATGGGTTAATTCCATTTTCTGCTACTGCAAATAAAGTTGCTATAACACTCATGTACAGATTTACACAAGAACATAAATTTTCATTTCTCTGAGGTAAAAGCCCAAACATATAACTTCTAGTTTTATGATAATTATGTATTGCATTTTATAAAAAAAACTATCAAACTTTTCCAGAATAGCTGTATAATTTTACATTTCTACTAGCAATATAGAAATGATTCAATTTCTCTGCATTTTTGCCAGGATTTGATATTATCACTATTTTTAATTTTAGCGTTTCTGATAGATGTATAGTGGTAGCTTGCACTTTTCATTTGCATTTCTTTCATGGCTAATCATACTGAATGTCATTTCACGTGTTTTTTTGCCATCTATTTATCCTCTTTGGGGAAATGTCTGTTGATGCCTTTTCCCTATTTTCTAATTGAAGTATTTATCTTTTTACTATTGAGTTTTCAGTGTTGTTTATATATTTTAGATAGTACTCTTGTTGCAAATGTGGTTTTGCAAATATTTTTCCTAATCTGTAGTGTGCCTTTGCATTATCTTTACAGAATCTTTTGCAGAGCAAAAGTTTTTAATTTTGATGAAGCATGATTTATCAATTCATCCTTTTATGGATTATACTAATAGTATTAAGTCTAAGAACTCTTTCCTTAGCTCTAGATTCCCAAATTTTCTTCTATATATTTTTCTAAAAGTTTCATATTTTAAGTTTTACATTCAAGTCTAGAATTCATTTTTAGTTACTATTTTTATAAGATATGAAGTTTAAGGTTTTGTTTTGATTGTTTGTGTTGAGTTCCTCAGTCGTGTTCGACTCTTTGTGACCCCATGGACTGTAGCCCGCCAGCTTCTCTTTTCGTAGGACCTCCAGGCAAGAATACTGAGTGGATGGTCATTTCCTAATCTACAGATGATTAGTTGCTTGAGCACTGTTTATGAAAAAGTGATCCTTCCTTTGTTGAATTGTTTTTGCACCTTGTCAAAATTCAGTTGGGCATACATGTGTGAGTATATTTTGGATTTCACTATTCTGTCAATTAATTTATCTATCTCTCCACCACTACCATACCCCATGTTTTTGCAGTAGCTAACTGGAAAAATGTGACTTTTACTGGAGGGATCTTCCCACTTTACCCTTCTTTTTCAAGATTGTCTTAGTTATTCTGGGACATGAGCTGGGACAATTTTTC